ATTACTGTGTTTGGTTTGTAATTAAAACAGTATCATAGGTGCCCCTCCCCGCCCCCACCCCCTTCAGAGCACAGAATATTAACTAAGGTGGACATTTCCTCTGTTGATGTTCCCTCTGGGAAACAAAAGATAGAAATAGTGAGAAAGGCCTTTCCAGATAATACCCCACACCAAAGTATTGAAAGAAAAGGTTCATATAACATGACATGGTAATGTCATGTAACATATGAATATTATTACCTAAGGATTATATCATATCCAGCTGATAAGTTGTATTTGTATGTTTAAGTGTGTATTTGAAAAAGTACGTAGTCTTTCAATTATTGAGTTTGTAAATCCTTAACTGAGTGTCTGGGAAAAAACTGTGCTAGGCATTGTGAGAAGGACAAAGGTTTACACAAGAGGGTTTTTTTTTTTTCCCCCTAGCCTTCAAGATATGTCAGCGCAAAGGGGGAGTAGCTTCACTGAAGTGAAGATTAAGATGGGGCTAGGTGTTGTCAGGGCTGAAGCTCGAGAGTCTAGATGCCTTTTAGGTTCTGTTACTGTACCTTCTGACCGCTGTGAATCAGGCAGGTTCTTGGGGAGCCTCAGCTGGTTTGCTCTTTGCACAGTTCAGCTGTGATTAGCATCCTTCTAGTTGGTAGGAGACATTGTCCAGGAAACTATCTAGCCCGTGGGGGAGGTGGCATCTTCTGAACCAGCCCCCCCCCCCCCCCCCCCCCCCGGCAGAGAACTTTGAACGGGTGGAAGAAGGAGTTCGTGTGCATTCTTGCTCATGTCACAATGTTGGGCCTGTGACTCAAGCATGTGGCAGGTCACTGTGATTGGACCATTGGATCACCAGGCCCTGACTTTAGAGTGGCCAATGCTGCTTTTTCAACTCTTAACTGCCACATGGGTACGACATAAGATATATCAATAAAAGACATAAAATTATTTTAAAAATACTGTTTATTGGGACATCTTGAAGGACTGGGGTCAAGGAAGTGCTTGTTTCCTTACCATCTCCTATCTGGCACATGTTGATAATTATTCGTCACTCATTCAGCATTTACTGAAAGCTTACCAAATGGCAGACAGCGTGCAAGGTGTTGGAGGGGGCAGCTGGGCAAGAACAAAGGAACAGAAGCTCTCTCTTCCCTCCATGACAGCTAACAGTGGACACTCCTACAGTGTTTACCACATGCCAGGCTTGTTCTGAGTGCTGCATAGCTCCGCACCTAACCCTTAGAACAGCCCCATCCGTTAGTACCAGTACTGTCCCCATTAGACACCGGACAACCCTGGCCTGCAGAGAGATGCACCAGCTTGCCAAAGATCTCACAACTGGAATGCGGCGGAGCAGAATTTGAAAGCAGACCGTCTGGCTCTGGAAACTGTGCTTTTAACCTCCACGCCAAATAGCTGCTCAAGGAACTTATGGTCTGAGTATACATGGGTAAGTACATCTGTTTTCAGGGTGAGGCAGCGAAAAACGGTGTAGAGGGAAGACAAGAAGGGACTCAGGTTGAGTGTGTTTGCCTAAACGGACACCAAGAGTGTCTGACTCAAGAAATGCTCCGTTCCATGCCCCAAGGCGAAGAATGGAATGACAGGACATTATTAAGCACGGTGAAAAGTTGGAAATATTTGCCAGCAATGGCAGTGCAGTTTAATTTTATGTCCAGGGCTACGAAGGGCTACAACCCTGCTTTCACACACACACACTGTGAGGGTCAGTGAATACAGTCAGTTCAGTGACATCATTTTCTCCACTTTCTCCGCTTTGCTAAGGGGCAAAGGTGCGAAGTCCGCTTCCCTGTGGTGGTTTGCACCTGTGGGGCGTGTCTAGGAAACTGATGGCATGGTCTTCTGGGAGAGTACTTGCAGCATACTGGGAACCTTCTGGAGCAAATTGCTGAAGGTGGAAGGCTGCAGAAATGATCGTCAAGCCTCAGATGTCACAAGAGAGGGATGACTTTTCAGTCAATGCTTGGGGTAGAGAGGAGGGTAGGGTCAAGTTGTGAGAAATACAGGAGATGTATTTGTGTAGATCACTTAACAGTGTATGTTATTGATAAATATTCCTTATCATTTATATAGTATATAATATGTAAGTACTCACCCCAGGCTGTCCTTATAAAAGCATGTTTGCAGAGACCTAAGAGAGAAAATGTAAACATGCCAGAGGTCTTCGCAAGACCTTATATATGCTGTTTAATGACCTTGTATAGTTCTAAATGTTATCAACAAATGTTAGTAATAATAAATGGTGGTGGATAGTGTCATTATTGCTCTTATCCCCATTTTTTGTTGTCACTAATTTTATATTGTGGTCAGTTGGAAAATAGGATTTACTTTTGGAACTATTCAGGGGCACCTGGGTGGCTCAGTTGGTTACGAGACTGCCTTCGGCTCAGGTCATGATCCTGGAGCCCCAGGAATGAGTCCCTCATCAGGCTTCCTCCTCGGCAGGGAGTCTGCTTCTCCCTCTGACCCTCCCCCCTCTCATGTGCTCTCTCTCTCTCTCATTCGCTCTCAAATAAATAAATCTTTAAAAAAAGAGAAACTATTCAAATATTTAAGTAGATTTTTCTAAACAGAAAGAGAGGAATGAAATTCGGCAAGGAACTTAGTTGTTATTAGTGGGCATTATGGATTTTGCATTCCCACAGAAACAAACTCGTGAACTAGGATTTTATTATCCTAGAATGAATTTCTTGCCAGGAGTCACTTTCTGCTTATCTCACCATTTGATATTTGCAAGATCACTAATAATTCCTCTGTCCACCCCACATCCCTTACTTCTTCCCAGGCAAGTAGAGAGATTTCAGAAAGACGATGAGGAAATTCTTTTCCTTCTAATTTGTTCTTTGGCCCTTTTAATCCCCCTCCCTCCACTGCCGGCAGGGCGTTAGTCATTAAAATGCGTCAGACAACTGTGATGCCTTCAGGATCATAACCGTGATACAATCACGTTACACACCCATTCAAAGTTCTCTGCTCCAGGGTCAAGCCTATGGAGCTCCTGCCTCCTCAACTGGTGTTTCTGTTGTGAGAAGGTTAGGAAAGGAGAGAGAGATGAACTCCCTGTAATTCTGAGGCTCACATTTCACTAGAGTCTGGTAAATCTCGAGATACTTCCCTGTTGATAAATTTATTTAATTTATTCCTATTAACCTGGCATATCATAGTCCGTTGCATGAAAATACCACATTTTATTCAGCCATATTGATGGACATTTAGGTTCTAACTTCTCGCTATTTCAAATAATATTGCTATAACATCCCTATGTAAGTGTTTGTATGACGTCTATGAAAGTTTCTGTAGAGTAGGGGTCTTCAAACACTTTATCCCACAATTTGGAAAAACTTTTCCTCCTTACACATTTTAGAATTGGAATCAAACTTTTTATCATAACTTTTAGTTGCAAAGGAATTAATTTCCTTGTAATGGAAACATTAACATTTAAAAGTAGAATTCTTTGGGCACCTGGGTGGCTCAGTCAGTTAAGCATCCGACTCTTGGTTTTGGTTCCAGTCGTGATCTCAGGGTCTTGGGATCGAGCCCCGCGTCTGGCTCTGGGCTCAGCAGGGAATCTGCTTGATACTTTCTCTCCCTGTCCCCCTGCCCTGGTCCCCAGCTCTGGCTCTCTCTCTCAAATAAATAAATAAATCTTTAAAAAAATAAAAGTGGAATTCTTAAATGTATCCAATGGTGTATAAATACCATAGTGATCTGATACTCACCGTTATCCATCACATATTAACGATATGAACAAGGTCTCCTATAGTGGGAAATTCTACGTCACTTCTTTTTCTTTTGGGACTTGAACTTTCTACTTGTCACAGGCTTTTATTTGAATGTAACATACATTATATGTGTTATGTGTGAGTGTTTTTTATTGATCACGTTACCATATTTCTCTATAACAAATTTTATATATAAACTTAAATTACATTAAATTTCTTTGATCACAATACTCCAAAGTGTTAACAGTTTTTCTGAATTGAGTTATCATTATTTTTAGTTCATAATTGACCAATTAAATGCTTTTAAATGTTGATCACATTGAAACATAAAAAATATCAATGGAACTTTAAGAAATCGGTTTGTATATCATGAACGAATTTTACTTATTTCTAGGAGATGGGTTCAGCATCAGTTTATGCCCAGTTTTTGCTTTTATATTATAAACCCCGAGGACTATCATTCACGTACATGAATAAGTAGGTGACGGTTGGAATAAATTGAGTAAGTGATGTTACTCATTTATTTGAAAGCTTTCCACATTGTATGCCCCTAGTGGTGTTATTTTTAATGATTTATCAGTGGGCAGTTTGCTTAGGTCTTCCTTCAGTTCACTAGGAAACAAGAAATGTTAAACTAATGTTCAAAGTGTGTGTTATTCAGTAGACTCACTCAGATTCTCAATGTTGATATTATTTCGGGTTGTCTCTTTAGTTTCTTGTAGGTTTATACCCTTTGGGGCAACATATCCTTGAGCATTCAGATAGAGAAGACGGGTGTGCCTTTCTCTTCTCAAGAGGGAGAAAGGGCCACTATGAATGGGAGGTAGGGATTAGGAACCACGGGGGTGCTTGACTCCATGGGTTCTCAGGTAGTTCGGACATGGAAGATAAAGATCTGGAATTATCCCCTTGAAAACGATCTGTGTGCCTCCGTTCTCCAGTTTGAAACTCCTACCCTGAGGTTTATCCCCAGCAGCAGAATTGCTATTGTTAGAGTCTCCTACGCTGTGTGACCCATTTCCCCAAACCCACGTCGCTGAGGACATTGCTCTGCTTCTCAAGGACTCGGGAGAGGTTCCCTCTGAGAATCCCCATATATGATTCATAGGAGTTTTCTAACTTTGGGAAAAGCCCATGATCCCTGTATTTAAATGACTGGTGGCCAGTGAGTGGTAATCCACCAGAGTTCTAGGAAACATTTGATTTCTATAATTTGCTTTGGGACAACCTCTGAAAGTATTTTCATTCGCAACTTTCTTTCTTTTAAAGGGCATCCTGAGTCTCCATCAACCAAGGTGGTACAAAAACAGCACTCTACTTGGTTTGTGTTCTGTGCCCTGAAGCAGAAATGCGTTTAATTGTACATTGCAAAATAAACAGATATCTAGAGGAGAAGGTTATTAAAAATATTTTGCGCAGTTTGGAAGAACAAACTAGAGGTCAGGATTGCTTGACCTAGCGTCTCCAAGCAAACCCCAGTCAAGTAAGCTGCCAAGGTAAGTGAGCTACTAACATATAGCTTATTCTTTGGGCAAAACTTTCTGGTTTGCAAATTTCTGGATATAGTTAAAAGGGACAATACATTTCAAAAATAGAGTAACGGTCCTCCTCAGGCAGGTGAATTCTACTTTAAAAACAGATTTAATGTGCCAAATTCAAATCATAAAAAGCTTGCCCAGTTATAGGACAAATACCTCAACATTGTAAAATAAACAGGACTTGAAATGCAGACAATCCTATTTTACAGTTACAAGTTATTTTAAAAATATAAACACCGAATAATGGAGCAATAAAATATATTACAGTTAGCAACTCTGTAAGGACACATTAATAATGAGGTAGATCTTCATTAAGGCCTCCCTTCCACTCGCTTCAACAGGTGACCTAGGAAGAGGGTGGCCCTATGAGCTCTAGCAGCCAATGGCCTGGGACCGCACCCTGGGAGGCAGCCAAGACAAAGGTACTATGTCCAGGAAAGACATTTCAGATAAGACTTAAGTTTTAGAGCTAAGAAAATAAGGGTTTGTTTGTTTGTTTGTTTTCTCCTTAGAAAAATAGACCGTTTCTATCTACTAACTTCCTGCCTCCTCCCAAGTTCCCCAGCTTCATAAAATTTATGTTAAGGATTTGAAATATTCCCAGATTAGTTGTTAAGTATCATGACCTTCTGTTTACAGCTCTCCTTTTCCTCTTGGGTTTCCTGAAATGTAAAACCTGTACATATATGTATATTTTTAAAGATTTTATTTATTTGATAGAGAGAGAGAGCACAAACAGGGGAGAGGGGCACAGGGAGAGGGAGAAGCAGACTCCCTGCTGAGCAGGGAGCCCGATGTGGGGCTGGATCCCAGGACCCTGAGACTATGACCTGAGCCGAAGGCAGACGCTTAACCCACTGAGCCACCCAGGCACCCAAACCTGTATATCTTTTAAGAAACGCTCAGCGGGGAGTCTCGTTCTCCTTCTGACCCTCTCTCCTCTCGTGCTCTCTCTCACTCTCTCTCTTAAATAAATAAAAATCTTAAAAAAAAGAGAAAGAAATGCAACATACTTAAGTACAACGAATTAGCAAAAATCCACCAAAGAAAACTGTTTACCTATTGTATTTAGAAAAGATAAAATTTCCCTCAGCTAGATCTGACAACATTACGTTTTTCTATGGTATTCTTTCTGAGGTTGCTATAAGATAGAAAAACCTAAATTGCAATGAGAGTACCTTTTGAACTTACTAATTCTAAGACGTCGTTAACAAGAAGGCTCTGATGGGTAGGATCTAGAAGTGCTTTATTTTGTCATTAAGTGGAACCATGGAAATTAAAGTGCCCCCCCTCCACTGGGCCCCACTAGGTTAAGTTTAAAATATTAAATGTAAATTAAGGATACCATGTTCATGTGGTTGAAAAATCAAAAGGCACAGAGCAATACCATAACATACAATGGGAGGTATGGGCCTTGGAGCCATGTAACTGGGCAGTGCTGTAAATGTCACCTTCCCACCTGTCTCCTAGCCATATCGGTATCTTAATAAGGAGAATTTTTTTTTTTTTTTTGGGGAGGGAGGGGGTGGGTGGGGTGGGGGGGGGGGGGGGGGGGTGGGGGTTGCAGAGGGAGAGAGAGAATCTTAAGCAGGCTCCATACCCATCTCACAACCCTGAGATCATGACCTGAGCCAAGATCAAGAGTTGGACGCTCAACCGACTGAGCCCCCCAGGTGCCCCAATAAGGAGAATCTTGAAATGTAGAGGTGAGTAGGAGGTTTCTTGTGAGGGCGAACTTCCTGGTTCAGAGATGGCTGTCTTCCACAGGTGACCTCACCTGGCGTGGTGGAAGGGGGCGGGAGCTCTGACAGGCCTCTTTCCCATAAATCGCAATGAGAGTAACTTTTGAACTTACTAGTTCAGATTCGTAAGGGCACCAGTCCCATTCGTAATGGCTCCACGCTCACGACCCAATCACCTCCCAAAGGCCCACCTCCTAATACCATTACCAGGGGGTGAGTTTCAACCTAAGATTTCGGGGCGGCGGGGGACACACACATTCAGTCTGTGGCAGCGTGGAAAAACCAAGGCTGTACACAGAGGATCAGCACCTTTTCCAGTCCTCTCTTGCAATTGTCCTTTCAGTGTATGTGTATTTGTATAAGAATAGAAGAGGAAGGGGCGCCTGGCTGGCTCAGTCAGTGGAGCATGCGACTCTTGATCTCAGGGTTGTGGGTATGAGCACCATATTGGGTGTAGAGATTGCTTAAAAAAATAAAATCTTGGGGTGCCTGGGTGGCAGGGTGGGTTAAGCGTCTGACTCTTGTTGGTTTCTGCTCAGGTCATGATCTCATGGGTCATGAGATCGAGCCCCACGTCAGCTCTGCGCTCAGTGCAGAGTCTGCTTGAGATTCTCCCTCTCCCTCTTGCCCCTCCCCCAGCTTGCTCTCTCTCTCTCTCTCAAATAAAATCTTTTAAAAATAAAATAAAATCTTTTTTAAAAAAGATTTAATTTATTTGAGAGAGAGAGAGAAAGCAAGCATGAGAGGGGGGAGGGTCAGAGGGAGAAGCAGACTCCCCCCTTAGCAGGTAGCCTGAAGCAGGACTCGATCCCGGGACTCCAGGATCATGACCTGAGCCGAAGGCAGTCGCTTAACCAACTGAGCCACCCAGGCACCCAATAAAATAAAATCTTTAAGAGAAAAGAATAGAAGAGGAAGAAATGGGAAGAGTAAAGGGGGAAAAAAAGACCTTTATCTCGGGAAGTATATTAGTGAGCCACTGGGAATTCTTAACCACATGAACATGTCACTCAAATAAACTTTTCTGTATTGCTCTTTCCCCTCCATTCCCTTTTATCTAGTCTCAGCCAAGTATATTTTATTATTTTGAGGTTTAGGTTTTAGGGGAAAGTTCAGAACTAATAGGCGACAATATTCGTGGAAGAGAGGCAAGCAGGGATGCAGCCTCTCCTACCCTCATACCAGGAACAAACTAACCCTTCTCTGGGGCAAACTGGCCTGGTGAAGTCCAAAGTTCAGCTTTCTCTCTGCGATGACCTGTTCAGACTTCAAAGAGACCCGTTGGGTGGTGTTGCGTCCTTCTGGACATGCCCCGTTGACTATGCTGTGCACCATTTACACCGTCTCTGGCTCGTCAGCAGGTGGCACTGTTCCCTCTATTCCCAACGGCGTTCGGCATTCCCTTCCCTTTTTTTTTTTCAGGCCACATATAAGGGCTGCCTCTTGAGTATTCCCAAGTATTTCCTTGGGAAATACTCTCCCAATGATCTACTAGCACTGAGGAGGAGAAGCAAATTAGCAACGCATAGCATAAGTGTTTTCACATTTGATCTTTAGAACCCTAATCCCCTGGTCTAATGAATTGTCCAACTTCAGGGCAAGAGGGTGAGCATCAGTAATTGTATTGCTTACTTATCCCTGTCTTCCCCTATTCTAGACCCTATTTAGGGGCCTCAGGCCGTCTTCTTGTTCCCTTCATTCCCCTCTGTTCAAGGCTTGAAAACAGTATTAAAAGCTATCTGTAGCCAAATTTCTCTCTAATTAACTTGTTTGGGTTTTTATCAAAATGAGGTTTTCTTCCCATCTTTATTCACAGATGGAATAGCGGGAATTTTCCCAGGCTGCAATGCAGGGTCCCTCACCGAGTAGCTCCGTAATCTGGTCGTATAAACCCTTGGGGCTTCAGTTCATGTGTAAAATGGGATTGGTGAACTAAGGGACTTTTGAGGTTTCTCCTAACTCTTATACTCCTGGATCCGGAAGTAGTCTGCCCCTGCCTTGAATAGTGGTTGTACTGTGATACCAGATGAGTGTTTCTTATGTTTTCTTTGGGCAGCAAGTTATTCAATAGCACAAAGAGAGTAGATTTAGGGGAGGCAGTTGATCTTGGGAGAGAGGGTACTCAGGGTAAGGTGCAACACATGAGCTACACTAGATGCCATTTATGACAGATATTCTCAAGTATTTCTGTGGCAGTGGACCCCAAACAGGCATTCAGTCTTAAATGCTAGAACTCCCTTAGTATGCTCATTTATTTAAAAATGAAATCAGGGTTGAGCTCTCTCCCTGGTTTGTTTGATATTTTTCTGATAATGGGCATTCGTTGATTTTTAGACTTAATTCTATTGGGCAAGGTCACTTTTTTACCTTATGAAAACACTAAAGAATCATTGTAAAGAACCTTCAACCCATACAGAAAGAAAGATATGGAAAGAGAAATTCTCCTCCCTCTGAAGCCCTCCCTCCCCATCTTGTAGTCAGAGATAAGCAGTGTTATCTTCTCTCTTGTTTATTCTCTTGGATATTTTCCATGGATTTATGCAAACACAGATATATGTATTATCCCTTCTGTTTTATTTCACTGAATTTTGATGGATAATTTTGTGGCATGCATTAATCCTGGAGTAGAAATATGCATGTAACATGGATGAGAGAGCCAGTAAAGAAATTATAGGATTAGGGAACAAGATAGATAACAAACAGAAAATAGTTGCTAATCAAATTGTCAACTGATAGCAATGATTCTTTCTTTCTTTTTTTTTTTTTAAAGATTTATTTATTTGAGAGAGAGAGCACAAGTGGGGAAAGGGACAGAATCCCAAGCAGACTCCCCAATGAGCATGGAGCCCAACTCAGGGCTGGGTCTCAAGACCCTGAGATCACAGCCTGAGCCGAAATCAAGAGTCAGATGCTTAACAGACTAAGCCACCCAGGTGCCCTGATAGCAATGATTCTTAAATGAATGGGGGGAAATCAGAGGGGGAGATGAACCATGAAAGACTATGGGCTCCAGGAATCAAACTGAGCATTCTAGAGGGGTGGGGGGTGGGGGGATGGGTTAGCCTGGTGATGGGTATTAAAGAGGGCACGTATTGTATGGAGCACTGGGTGTTATGCACAAACAATGAATCATGGAACACTACGTCAAAAACTAATGATGTACTGTATGGTGATTAACATAACATAATAAAATTATTAAAAAAATGATAGAGGGGCACCTCGGTGGCGCAGTCGTTAAGCATCTGCCTTCAGCTCAGCTCATGATCCAGCCCCGCATCGGGCTCCGTGCTCCGCGGGAAGCCCCGCGTTGGGCTCCCTGCTCCGCGGGAAGCGTGCTTCTCCCTCTCCCACTCCCCCTGCTTGTGTTCCCTCTCTCACTGTGTCTCTTTCTGTCAAATAAATAAATAAAATCTTAAAAAAAAATGATAGAGCTTCCAGGAAGAACTGACCATGGAAGATTGTTTTGAGAAGACATTTCTAAGGGAGTGGGCTGGGGTCATGGTAGGAGAGGACCACCAGTGGTTCCTCCGTTTTTCTCCATGCTTACTACTGAGAGGTAGAGTCTCTTTCTTGTCCCGGGAATCTTGACAGCCTCCGTTACTTGCTTTGGTCAATAGAACGAGTCAAAAATGATGCTGTTCCAGTTTTGGGCCTAGACCTGGCAACTTTAGTTTTTGCTCTCTTGGACGATAATCACCACGTAAAGAACACTGACAGCTGTGCTGAAGAGGAAGGCCTCATGGAGGCAGCGTGTTTCTGGAGGATGAGACCCTCTGGAGGGAGACAGGCCCAGCCTCTCGCTATTTCAGCCACTCCAGCTGAACCACTAGCCCTGTGCTCGAAGTCGTCTCGGGTCCCCCAGCCCCCGTCAAGCTGCCGCAGCCAACAAACACGAAGGAAAGATAAGCTGTCACCACTGTGTTCTGTCCATAGTGCAGAATGTGAGCAAGAAAATGGTCCATGCTGTTTCAAGCTGCCACACTTTGGGGTAGTGTGTTATGCATAATAAATAATGGAAATCGATGTCTGGGAGTTGGATGTTGGCTTAAAAAAATCTAAGACACGTGGCACCGGCTTTGGGAGCAGGCATTGGGTAGAGGTTGGAGAGGTGAAGAAGAAACTCTCTTTTTTTTTAATTGACTATTTTTTTTTAAATTTCTATTTTGAAACAATTTTAGACTTACACAAAAGTTGCAAAACTGGCACAGAGTTCATGCATGTTCTTCACCCAGCTGCCCGAATAGTGATAAATTGCATAGCCAGAGAATAATGATCAAAACCAGGAAATTGACATAAACCACAGACCGTGTAGGAACTTTGCCAGTTTTTCTGGTAATGTTCTTTTCCCGTTTCAGAATCCAATCCAGGATCCTGCGTTTGCATTTAGTTGATGTATCTCCTTGGTCTGGGAAGGAGACTCTTAGTGGAGGCTCTGAGGGTCGTGAGAAAATTGTATTGCAGGCTGGAGAAGTGGTGCTGTGTAGTCGCAAAATGTTTGGCATCCCTTGTGAGCAGTAAAACACAGAAGACAGAAAATGTACCTAATGAACTTGTAGATCTGGCAAAGGGGAGTTTCAAGCTGCACGTTCAGAATATCAGTTGGCTTCTTGTAGTGAGGTGTGATGGTGTTACTAGAGAGAGAGAGAGAGAGATGTGTTAAAAAAGGAACTGTTCCGTTTTCAAGCAGAATGTAGAGGAAATAGGGCCTTGGAGATTCTGTGTTGTCAGCAATAGTCTCAAAGGAAGAAATGGCCTCAGGGGCCTGCCTTTCGAATGTGGCCTTGAGGTAGAAATCCAATCAAGACTATGTTGAAGCCTCTACATGTTAAGATGTTGTTTCATAGATCCTCTCATCTAGCCAAAAGGGCTCCTAAGAAGACTCTTCAGGGGATTCCAACAGCATCTCCTTTGACAAGGCCCAAAGTAGACAGAAGTTTGTTCTTGGAAGAATTATAGATGTTGCTTTGTGGGCAGAGTTGTCGAAGGCAAGAAGTAAACTCTGTTAAGACTCATAGGAAATCCACAAAATGTTGAAGACAACTGTATTGATGAAACCACTGCTAGCCTGAACTAAAGGGGAAAGAGAGAGTTCAAAATGTAAACAAACAAACAAAAAAAAACCATCGGGCCCCCAGCTTTCTGTGGACAGGACCCAGGCTGAGAGAGCTATTGGACCATAAAGGGCAGTCAGTGGCTTATGGAAAAGGAAGCCTCAAAAGCCATAGCCTGCATCCCGGAGTAGGGAGCCAGGAACAGTGGTTTGGGAAGCAGCTCCCGGGGAGAAGAACCAGCCTCTAATGGCGGGGCGGTCTGGGTTCCCAGAGTGAGGGTGACAGTGCTCAGCTGGCTTTCAGAACTGCTAGGGCTGGTGGCTGCTCTGTGCCTTCTGTCTCCCCCGCTTTGAACACAAGTGTCTGTTTTACTTAACTTATCCCTGTCTCAGCGTCGTATGTTGTGTCTATACCTCGTCTTTTCAGCTCACAGGTCTCCAGAGGAAGAGGAGCAGCATCGAAAATGCCTCCGCCACGCCTACTGTCTACCATTAGATCCTGGCCCTTAGAGCCAGTGCTACACAGAATGACAATTTGGGGGGAGGGAGTGTATTCTGCAAGTCTGTGTGTGTGGGTGTGTGGGTGTGAATTGTTGTGGCCAAAGGGTGGCTTATGATAGAGTGTTTCCCCATATGACTGCCGACAGCTCCTCTCATTCCAGACACTCCTTCCATTAGGGAGTGTGGTCTCTTTCCTGTCCCCTTGGGTCTGGGCTGGCCCTGTGACTGCCTTTGGCCAGGAGAATACAGGGAAAGTGATGTTCTGGGACTTCCAAGCCCTGGCTTTCACTAGCCTTGTAGCTTCCACTTTCTCTTTCTTGGGATCCAGGCTGTAAAGAAAGTATAAAGCAGCCCGGGCTGGCCCACGGAATGATGAGCGATCATGCTGCCCGCCATCTTGGCTGTTCCAGCCCCAGCCAAACTCACAGCTAGAGGTGACCACACGTCTGACCCCAGCTGTGTCATGGGAAGGCAGAAGAGCTGCCCAGCTGTGCGCGTCCTAAATTGCAGAAGCGTGAGCGAAGAAGGGGTGGTGGTCCTCTTCAGGCACAGAGCTTACGGTGGTTTGGTAGGCAGCAGTAGGTCGTTGAAGCCATTACCAAATGTCAGCGTTCTTTCGACTGCTCTAACTTCACTCCAGGGGCTGAGAAGAGATTGTAACAGCATCAGATAAAGAAGCCAAGTTTCAAGGAGACTCAGTTCCATAAAGGCTAGACCCCATAGGCCACAGTCACCGCTCTGCCTGCAGAGCTTTGCACAGAACGAGCACGTGATATACGCCCAGATACATGTTGATTGGACAATTGAATGAATGAGTGGAGATAAAAGATGCCACACCATGAAAAAGACGGAAAAGATACTCTAAACGGAGTTTGTCTCATTCCCTTTTTTCTTTCAAAAAGGTGCTCTTCGTTTTCAGAAACAGTGATGCCTCGGAAGCCAGGAGGATGTTCTGAAGGGAGAGATGTGTAGGAGTGAGGCACAGGACAGCCTTGACTCTCCATGCCCCTCTTACACTTAGACAAAAGAGGGCCGCTCCGGGAAGCACCTGGCAAATGCCCCAACACCTGCTGGTAGATAAAAATTATCTTTTTCTATTCTTGGAAGAGCTAAAAGCAGAATATGTGTTCCATAGGACTATAGTTAGAGTTAATACCAAGAGGACCAGAGTAGAATAACCAATAGTCAGTGTTAGGCTGGAGAGTAGAACAGTCAGTGCTGATTTGTCATGTTAGGTCTTCTCTTTCCCATCACTCTCTGGTCCAAGTCACAATTTTTGAATGCAACTTGGACCCAGCATGCCTATTCTACTCTGTGGTTCTCCCAGGAACACCTGGCCCCATCCTCATTTCTCTGAGAGAGATAATTTCATATAGCACACCTCTCTACTGGGACGTGAAAGGAGACCCAAGTGCCGTGTGCAGTAGCTCCAGGAGAGCTTAGAGACAAGAAGGGAAAGTTCTTTTTTAGGGTATGGTTACTTGCAGTGCCTTCTGGAGAAGTACCTTCTGGAGACATGTCTTGGGCAAAACATCTTTATTTAAAAGAATAGCAATATTACTACTGAGTATTTACCCCAAAGATACAAATGTAGGAATCCGAAGGGGTACATGCACCCCGATGTTCATAGCAGCAATGTCCACAATAGCCAAACTGTGGAAAGAACCAAGATGTCCATCGACAGATGAATGGATAAAGAAGAGGTGGTATATAGACACAATGGAATATTATGCAGCCATCAAAAGGAATGAGATCTTGCCATTTGCAACGACGTGGATGGAACTGGAGGGTGTTATGCTGAGTGAAATAAGTCAATCAGAGAAAGACATGTATCATATGACCTCACTGATATGAGGAATTCTTAATCTCAGGAAACAAACTGAGGGTTGCTGGAGTGGTGGGGGTGTGGGAGGGATGGGGTGGCTGGGTGATAGACATTGGGGAGGGTATGTGCTATGGTGAGCGCTGTGAATTGTGCAAGACTGTTGAATCACAGATCTGTACTTCTGAAACAAATAACGCAACATATGTTAAGAAAAAAGAACAAGAAGAAGATAGCAGGAGGGGAAGAATGAGGGTGAGTAAGTCGGAGGGGGAGAAGAACCATGAGAGACGATGGACCCTGAGAAGCAAACTGAGGGTTCTAGAGGGGAGGGGATGGGGGGATGGGTTAGCCTGGTGATGGGTATTAAAGAGGGCACATTCTGCGTGGAGCACTGGGTGTTATACGCGAACAATGAATCATGGAACACTACATCAAGAACTAATGATGTAATGTATGGTGATTAACATAACATAATAATAAAAAATTTTTTTTAAATAAAAGAATAGCAGTATTTGTAATTAGGATAAGTGAAATAAGGGGGAAAGCCCTGGACCCTTGGAAGAATAGGGTGGTTTAAATTCATACCTATAATTATTATATTTTTCTATTCTGTATTATTTAGAAAACAGTGGTTAAACAGATAAAAATAGAAAAGATTGCTTAAAAATTAAAGCCATTGATTTATCTCTATTTGAAAGGTCAGCGTGTGGGAGATGAGAAAGGCATACAGTGATCAGTGTTCAAGAAAAGACATTTTAGCAGCAGAACCTACAAAGAGCACATCAACTATTTATATCACCCACATCAAGTTGCTGGTCATTTCATTTATCAAAGAAAATAAGAAAGCTATTTTCTTTGGACATTCTTTGGGTGTAGTGACAATACAGTTTTGGAATCAGCTGTTAGAAACTATAATTAAAGCTGGTTTATCATGTTTACCAATTATTCTGCATAGAATTCTGCATTATTCTGCATTAGTCTCCCTGAAGCTTTATATAATTCTGTCTTTGTTACAAGCTTCTGTTTCTCCCTAGGGCAGTCTGAATCCAGACAGGTAAAGAATTGGAGTGCCTGGAAACCAATATTTTGTAATATGTGTACAGTCGGTTGAACTTGAAAACAATATACCGATTTTAAACTTCCTGTACATTCGATAGAGTCAGCCATTTAGAGGTTTCAGCCCTACCACTTGGGTAAGGAGATCCCTTGGGTACAAGGAAGAAGGAAAACAAAAATGGAAAACAAATTTCCTTCAGGAACCTATTTAACACTGGGGAGGGGAGGAGGTTTTTTATTCAGTAATTCCTAATAACTACCTGATAGTACTGTCTGGTTGGCCAAACGTCTGTCAACATCGGTGATCTTTCGTTCACTGCTAGAGAGAAGCAGAGGGAGCTCGTGTTCAGAGAAGCAGCAAAACTCATGTCCCATTTTCTTCCCTCTGCCAATGGAAGTGCTGTGGGCCAATCTCCCGTTCCAGCCCTTTAGTGTGGGTGGTGCGCGCCCTTTCTGCTCCCCAAGAACTCTGTGCCATGGGAGTGGAAAAGCATCCTGTCTCCTCATGAACCCATTTCCTTCCCAGGAAGTGGATTTCAGAATAGGGTAGGCTCTGTTGGGGGGGGGGGCGGGGAGAGTAGGGCAGTGCTAATAGCAAGGACTCTGGAGACAAGATCAGCAACCTGAGAAACAAAGGTGGGGACGTTTTACCCCTCCCCAATCTACCTCCCTTCATTTAACTTCCTCTTCATTTACCCTTTCCCCACTAAGCAATATTTGCTACTCAATGGAACACCGCTCAGTTTCTTACCATGAAGTCCAGTGGAACACCTACAAATCAGGGACTCCTTATCATTGGTTTTTTAAAAATAAAGAAATCTCAGGCTTGCCCTAGGCTGTGTGGATAGGATTTTCAATTTTGGAAACCAAATGGAGGCCTTTCTCCTACTCTTTCCAGATTGTCCCCCCCACCTCATTTCATTTTCCACTTGTGGCCTCTACCTCCCACAGGCTGACCAGGACCATGCACAAAAACAGCCTCCAATGAATAGCAACACTGAAGATTCAGCAGGTTGCTAACTCCTGCAGGCCTATCTTAAAAAGGATGTCGTATACAAATGCAAAGTGTTATGGAGCCTGGGAGATCTCTAAGAACACTGTAAATATCCCTGGTTTAATTAGTAGTGGTGGAATTAGGTAATGGCCTGTGGCTTCTAAGCAAGCCCTCTTGGGGTTTCTAGTCTTCAAGGGGCTGCCTGCAACCATGATGTGCCCATACACAGTCTTCTTTTTCAGACACCGAATAAATCCTTTTAGACCTTCCTAGGCACCTACTCACAATTACTGCAATACACAGGCAAATTGATCCCATTCTCCCAGATCTAAAAAAAAAAAAAAAGAAAGAAAGAAAGGAAAGAAAGAAAGAAAAGAAAAAGAAAAAATGAATCAGTGCCTCAGCCCAGGTCTCAACTCCGATTCTTGGGACTCCAATTGTCTCCTTGAGTTCTACTTTCCAGGGGGAAAGAAAAAGAAGAAATTCCTAGATTGGTGTTGATGGTGTTCATTCTCTTCAAGCAGAAAGTGGACAACTCGCTTTGCAGCTGATCAATGTCAGGGTAAATGCGCTCCAGTTCTCATAATTTCTGAACCAGCTCTCTCACAGGGATAGGTCAACCAATCGGGGCTGTTAGCCGACTTGACAGGTTTGCTCTGGGCTGATGGCCATTCACTAGGTTCTCCGACCCGGTAAGTCGCTTGGCTGAGTCTACAGTAGGTGGGGCGCGCTCACCAGCTCAGGGGTAGTGACTGGAAGTTTGTTGCAACACTGGTGGATTCAAGCAGCGCACTGCTGCTGCAGGAGATACCCTTTTGCCCCGGGTGTACAGAACCAGAAAGGTTCGCCCCAAGGGGCAGGGCACTAGCGAGGGAGATGGCAGACCCCCGGGGCCCTTTTCCTTCTCCCACGGTTGGGAACGCGCACTGTTGGCCGAGCCGGAGCTCCAAGTCTCACGTCTTGGCCGCTTCGCTGGCTCGGTAGGTAGCACGCGAACGGGTAGGAGCCGCTTGGGAGCTCTGCCTCCGAGGTCCGCGAGAAGCCGCCGCCGCGGCCAGCGGTGCCGGGAGGCGGGGGCACGTGCTTGAATGTGGGTGCTTGTGTAACCAGCTCCCCAGGCGCCAGCACCGACAGCGCTCGGGCCGGAGGCTCGTCGGAGCCTGTTTTTCCGCCGCGACCCGGAGGCTCGGGGTCCCGTTGCCGGCACACGGCAGCGGCACCCCGGGCGGAGGACGCGAAGCACTTGCCTCCCGAGCCATCATAGGGGAGTGGGAATTTGGAAAGTTCCCCAACTAGGAACACACGTGACCTCCTCCTGAAAGTAGTTCCGACTGTGGCCCGCGTATCCCTCCACCGCCTTTTGAACCCTCCTCGGTCTCCCCGGCCCCGCCCCCTCGCAGGGGCTGCCGCTTCCTACCGTCCCGTATTTCACAGTCGGGCCCGGGCAGCGCCGGCCGCCGGCGTGCGCCGCCCGGCACGGGGAGCGCGAAAGCCGGCCCGCGGCGATCCACCCGGCCGGGTTTTCACAGCGGCCCGAAAAGGGGCGGGGCGAGGCAGCCTCCGAGCCCCGAGTCTGAGTCCGACGCGGTGAACCGAGCTGGAGCCCCGAGGGGAGGGATGCTCAGCTCTCCAGGGGGAAATGCAGGGGGCTGCGGGGTGGGTCCCGTCCTCTGGGGTCCGCTCTCGGTGCGACGCGGGCAGTGGTCCTTGGGGACTTTAGACCTCCAGGGACGATGTGCTCACACGCAGCGCGCTCGGCTGCGAGCTCTCATTTTTAGGGCGAAGGAGCCGGGCTGCTGGGGAAGCGGGAGGTGGGGCGGTGAGAGGGAGCCGGATGAGGTGATACACACACGGAGACACAATAGGGGGTTGTTCTTTGTGCTAAGACTGACACCTTGAGGACACGGGCGGGGGGTGGACAGAGAGGTAGGCTTTCTTGGCAAAGGCGGCTGCAGGCGAGTCCCTGCGAACGACAGGGATATCACAGCGGTGCAAAAGGAGGACGAGGCTGCGGGCCGGGCCGGGGAAATCTGGGGGCGGAGGGGGGAGGGGCGCCCTCGCGGCGGGGACCGTCCCCGCGTTTCCCTGTCCCCCGACCCGCGCGAGTCACCTGGTGCTCCCCACCTGTGCACAGGTAACCTCAGACTCGAGTCAGCGACACCGCTCAGTGCACCCCTCAGCTCTCCCCTTCGGCCCTCCTTGTCCCCGACCGGGTTTCTGGGCACAGGCCGAGACTTGGCTTGTTCTCCCCCCTTTCCACTCCCGCACCCCCCCCCTCCCCGCCCCGGCCCCGCGCTGCTGCAGAAGCGGCCGCGGCAAGTGCAGCTCCTGGCGGGCGCCTCGCACAAGCCCGAGCGAGCCCCGGGCGCTCGCACTGGGCATGCTCAGTGGCGCCCGCCGGCCGGGGGCTCGGCGCTCGCCCCCGGAGCTGCCGCCCCTGCCCCGCCGCGTCCCTCCCTCCCCCGGCGCGGTCTCGCCCGCCTCCCGCCTCCCCTCGGGCTCCCAGGCGCCGGGCTCCCGGCGCGGCAGCGGCGGCGGCGGCGGCGGCGGAGGGGGCGGGCGGGCCGGCGGGCGGTGATGTGGCGGGACTCTTTGTGCACTGCGGCAGGATACGTGCCGGGGCGCCGAGCCGCGGCTGCGCTCGGCTCTCTCCTCTCGGAAGCTGCAGCCATGATGGAAGTTTGAGAGTTGAGCCGCTGTGAGGCGAGGCCGGGCTCAGGCGAGGGAGATGAGAGACGGCGGCGGCCGCGGCCCAGAGCCCCTCTCAGCGCCCGTGAGCAGCCGCGGGGGCAGCGCCCTCGGGGAGCCGGCCGGCCGGCGGCGGCGGCAGCGGCGGCGTCTCTCGCCTCGTCCTCGTCCTCTCTTCTAACCGTGCAGCCTCTCGCTCGGCTTCTCGTGCAAGGGACGGTGGAAGCCGCGGGCCCGGGCGGGAGCCGGCTGAGGCGCGGCGGCGGCGGCGGCGGCGGCGGCGGCGGCGGCACCTCCCGCTCCTGGAGCGGGGGGGAGAAGCGGCGGCGGCGGCGGCGGCCGCGGCGGCTGCAGCTCCGGGGAGGGGGCCGGAGTCGCCTGTCACCATTTCCAGGGCTGGGGCCGCCGGAGAGTTGGTCTCTCCCCTCCTACTGCCTCCAACACGGCGGCGGCGGCGGCGGCACGTCCAGGGACCCGGGCCGGCTGTAAACCTCCCCTCCGCCGCCGCCGCACCCCCCCCGGCCCGGGCTCCGGAGGCCGCCGGCGCAGGCAGCGGCCGTGCCGAGGATTCTCCGTCTCCTTCCCGTCCCGCGGCCGCCGCGGCCAGGCCTCTGGCTGCTGAGGAGAAGCAGGCCCAGTCGCTGCAACCATCCAGCAGCCGCCGCAGCAGCCATTACCCGGCTGCGGTCCAGAGCCAGGCGGCGGCAGAGCGAGGGGCATCCGCTACCGCCAAGTCCAGAGCCATTTCCATCCTGCAGAAGAAGCCCCGCCACCAGCCGCTTCTGCCATCTCTCTCCTCCTTTTTCTTCAGCCACAGGCTCCCAGACATGACAGCCATCATCAAAGAGATCGTTAGCAGAAACAAAAGGAGATATCAAGAGGATGGATTCGACTTAGACTTGACCTGTATCCATTTCTGCCGCTGCCCCTCTGTGCCTTTCTGTCACTCTCTCTTAGAACGTGGGAGCTCACGGAGGCGAGAAATTGCCATAGTTTGGGTGACTGTAGCAGCCAACCCGGCTCGAATTTCTAGATCGTGTCTATTTGGGGTCTCCCTTGAATGCATCCAGCCTAGGGTGTGTTCGGCTACATGGAACTCTTGCCTGCTTGCAAGTGTCAAGGCACCGATGGGTTTCTCGGGTCTGTCGACGGGGTCTCTTCCGAAGGGCTATTGTCCGTTAATACAGAATACAGTACACTGTTGGTGGATTAGTGAGCTCGGTAATCCGGTCTGCTATATGAACAGAAAAGGAGACGCTTTGAGGTTGAGCATATTTCGATTAAATCTTGGCTTTAGGCCCTAGATCAAGGGTATAGATTAGATTAAAATGAAAATTAGTGTTGCACGTATGCATATTGCATCAGAATCTTGCAGTGATTGTTTTTAGTTTCCTGGGTTGCATTGGTAGACTTTTTTTTTTAATGTGACTTGTGAACTGATTTGCATAACTTTGGAAGCAGAATCATTTTCAGCATATATGGTGTTCATTGGAGGGCAAAAGGAGGTTTGTGTATTTAAGCTAAGTTTAATTACAACTTGGAACTGCCTTTAGAAGTTTTGTAGTTTGAAATCAATAGTGTCATAGGTAATACACCTCCTAAGGCGCTCTTACTAGATCTTCGTTAAATTCGCCTTTTTTTTCCCCCCTCCTGATGGGGTGATATAGGATAGGGCATGAAATTTGTAGCGCAGTAGCATTTTATATTCAGTGGTCTTGTCACACGTAATAGAATGGAGATTGAGTGTTTTTTGATCCCAGATGATAATGTTGTGTAGGTTCTAAGGGTATTGTGTGCCGCAAATTGTGATTGCAGAGATTAAGCTTCAGTTCTTCCTTGAAATTTAAGTGTTACTGTGATGCCGGAATTGCTGCTCACCTAATTCAAGTTGCAGGTCCTCTGACACCTTTGGGGCTCCATTAATTGTACTCTGGCTTGTGTATAATGGCAAGTGTAATATACCAGCTCATAACCAGAATGGCCTGCAAGAGGGGATTACTCCAGCCTCAGATTGTGTAGGTATGTTAGCTGTTTTTCACCCAGTGTCTTAAGTTTACTGACTCAGGTGGCTGAATAAGACAGAAACCCAAGAATTGTAACAAGCATGTCGTTTTGGTTGTCCAAAAGTTAGGTCTTTGTACCTCAAAAGATAGTGGTTATTGAAAGGCATTGATCTTTGCAGTTTCAGGTATAACGAACTGGTTTTGATCAAGGATGGGCATAGAGCCCTCCTGGTTTGCAGAATGGGAAGTATCACAGACGTTCAGAGTTCCTCGCAGGCCAGTGTCTAAGGCATGAAAAAACAGAATTAAGTCGTTGGTCTCAGGTGCCTGAAGTATCTTATTAAGGCTGCTGTTAAGACCAAAATTTTAGTGATGTGAATTATAACGCTGGACAATATTTAGGTAAAATTATGTAATTGCATAATAAGAGTATTCTTAATAAAAATTATGTCTTAGCAAATGTCAGTGAACATTTTGCCTAAAGGTTGAGTGGTGCTAAAGTCTCCATATGTCCTGCTAAAAACTGTGGGGAAGATTTGTTTTTTGAAGAAAATGTTTTATAGCTGAAGAGGTTTTATTCCTTTGGATTATATAGCTGCACGTAAATGCGCACAACTAATTTTGCCCAAGTGTTTGTTTTGAGATGAAGGTAAAAGTTACTGAAGAAGGAGCTTTATAACACACAAAACGTAAGTTTTCTGTTAAGTGAAAGGATTAATATTTTAAAAGAATATTTAGAAGTTCTGGAGTCTGCATTAATTGCAAAACTAGTCAGGGCTGAACTTGACCTGCTTGCCTAGAAGGTAATTAATTATGGAAAAACTTCTGATTTGTAATTTCTTTCAAAAGCAGTCTGCTGTTGGTGTGAACTGACATGTATAAGAGCAAATTGATTAAATGTTTCTTTAACTTTTTAAGAAAAGTCCCCATGCAGGAAAATGTCTATAATGCTGTTTGGTAGATTGCTTTTATTATTCAGACTGCGTTTATACTATTTTTACTTTACCCATTTGCTTTAAAATTTAGCAGGGTTTTAAGTTTAAAATTATTCTACCAGGTTCTTTCACGTGAGTAGTGAGATGATTGCCAGTTCTCCTTTGATTTCAGAGGTGTGCCTCCATACGTGAAATTTATGTGACTTAAAACTTTCTCTAACACTGTGCTTTTAGTTATGGTATGCATAGAAAGCAGCATCAAATATTGTATCAAATGACTAGTAACACTTAATTTCTAGAGTTGTGGTTTTATTGAGCCAAATACTGATATAAAAAAAATCACTTAGGAAAGAGTCAGTGAAGGGTTCTTTTTTGATAGTTGCACTTCCAATAATTTTGATACACCAAAGCACTTTGGTTTACTTGGTTTCACTTTAGTGTTCTGTGTTTATTGTGGGGGGGAAATTAAAATGGCCATTGAAGATTTTGTCTCTGGCAGGTTGTAGTATCTGTTTCAGCAGCTAGCCTGTGAGAAGTTAAATTCCTTTATGAAAGTAGTAATTGGAGTATTTCTGTGTGATAAGAAAGATTAAGAATGTAGTGATTTCTCAGAGGAAAATTGAGGATGATTATTTGCAAATTTTGCAATATTATTTGCAAAATTGAGTTCTAAAAATAATTTCTTGGTATCTTATTATTGGTCTGGAAAGTAGTGTTGACCGTGAGACTATAAAAAATTTAGTGTCTTTAGATTTCATGGAAACTTTAGGCTTTGGTTGTATTTTTATTTTTTGATAAGTTTGCGTCTTTTCAAATGTTAACTGTAGGGAGTATTTTTAACTTGTAGAGGGTACAGGGACTGTTGAAGTTAATTGTATTACCTTTTAAGATTAGTGATTACTGAAATGACCATATCTTGAGAGGTGTGTGTATGTGTGTGTGTGTTTTGTTTTGTTTTGTTTTGTTTTTAAAGACACTGTTCAGAATTTTTATTTTACCCTGTTTCATATCTGCTAAGTTGCATTTCTTTTCTGAACAACATAACCGGGCATCCTAATTGCTGTATAACAGTTTACAAACTTCATTTTCATAAAGGTCATTCAAGAATAAAGTGCATCTGAAAGGAGAATAATTTACAGTTTATCTGACTTAATATAAGGAAAAAGGGATTTTATTGCAGTGCATTGTAAAAGTTTGCCCAGTAGTGCAGCCATCTGCGGATTTACATCGCATATCCTGCACTAAGTGAATATTAGATGAATAAACATCCTAAAATATGGTGACTTATAATCACCTTACTTTAACATTTATTTTTAGAAACTGTAGAAAGAAAGATGCATTGGTGTCCCTTTTAGAATTTTAATGACATGAGAAAGGCAGCTATCGATGTTTTAGTGTTTGTGTGGAACAGATCTGTTTTTTCCTAATAACCACTTAAATAAAACACACAAACTTCTTAATGTTAATTCTTATTTTCACATGTTCTCATTTTGAGATTTGCCCCATTTGCTGTTTGTTCGTTTGGTGATAGCTTAATACTTTTTAATATTTTTTAAGCCACTTAAGTAATTACTTCAGTAACTTTCAATGGAGGAATACTTAATGGGAAAATCAATGCACAAAGTTTCAACGTTAATTCACTCTCAGTAAACATTTTACTTTTAAATTTTGACCTCAGCCTTTTTCAGTAAGACAAATGTTTTTATATTAAAACAGTATATGTGAAATGGAGTTTGTAGAGAGAAATTTAGACCTGTGCATGCACGTGATAGTTTTTCACTTACTTGAAGTGTTTGGCCTTGGTCGTGGTCCAAGGACTTAGCTCCCAGAAGCTGTGTTATTAATGATTGTATGAAACATTTATTTGATACCATATTTTTTTTTCCTGTAGAGACCATGAGTTCTGAAGTTTTATTTTTATTTTGAGGAGCCCTCGCTCTTCCACGCCTTTTTTTGTTAGATAAACTTTGATTTTTAAGTGAAGTCAGTTTTGGAGAATTCTTTTGTGACCTGAATTCATTAAGAAAATGTGTTAGAATTTGTTCTGAGGATAGTGACTTAAGACCTTTGTACCAACTTCTGAGGTAGGGGTCAGTAATGATTTCAGTAAATATTCAGTTCTGTTTTACAGTTGCTTTCTGTCTGGTAGCTTTGAAATTCATGCATTTGCTATCAGAGGTGTCAGTTATGTTGAGGTTAGACTGCATAACCTGAAGTTGGTAAGGATTTGCTGAGTGAAATGATATCCTTAATTGTTTTATAAAGGCCACTTACTGCCACATGCATTCTTTGCTAGGTGGTCAAAAGTGTTCCGGTCTGTCAATAGTGATTGTCTTTCTAAGCATTGGATAAATGCACCTACTGATGTAAAATACTTGCATTTGTCAGGAAAGGTGACTCTTCACCTATCTTCTAAGTTTTTGAATTTTTTTATTGGTTACAGAAAAAGGTATTAGCAATTTGGTTCTTTTAAGGTAATTTGCACTGAAATAAAGCCTTTTGGAAAAATACTAATATAAGAAGAATAAACATTATTTAGGTGTGAATTAATTTAGAGGGGAAGTTTTAGTTCAGTTCAGCGTAGTTAAGGCATATTCTGTTCATTTGCAGCAGTTTGCATTAAGAGGCAGGTGGACATCTTCAGGGTGTTAGGTATACACTTGGTTGTACTGAGAATATTGAGAGATGGATACTGTGGCTGCACCTGACAGCAAAAGAATATTCTTACCCTGTACGTAGTGTGGACAAGAAGACCGTTGACGTATTATATTTTAGGTGGTTATGCACTTTAATTGTCATCCATAGTCGTCACTTCAGATATGGACAGTGAATCTAACATAGTGTGTGAATATTCTGTGTATATGTGTAAATAAGTGCAAAGTTAGCAAACTGTCATAATTCTTTTTTTTAAGATTTTATTTATTTATTTGACAGAGAGATAGCAAGAGCAGGCACACAAGCAGGGGGA